AGTCGGAGACTTGTGCGGGAGAGGAGGCGGCATATTATTATTACGCAGGCCGCATTTGCGCCCAGGAACGACTTATGTTGGTAGGCCCTAACCACCATTCAGTGCAGGAATGAGGGAAACCTGGAAAACCTCATTAATTAGGGGGGTGGTCAAATGCCAACCGGTGTCAATCTCTCACATTGACCCAAGCCAACATTCTTCCATCCTACCATACCTGCACAGAGGGTGCCAATCCTCCGTACAAGCATAGCTAATCTACGGTCTACCGGCCGCGGGATTCGAAACCCGGGCAGATCGACACATCGATTTAAGTACTGACGCCTTAAACAGTGCGGCTTTCGACCGATACTATTACTACCACCGATACTATTATACCGACTTAAATTATAAGATTGCACCTCGAGTCGCATAAAAACATTTCCAAAGTTTTTAATCAATAACACAGAGTCGGCCTTCATTTTCGATGCATAAATGAACTTTAATTTACAAAAAAAAACCGAACATAGAACTATTTCGTATAAGAGTTTTCTATTACAAATATAATCAGGAAGCTGTAGTTTAATTTTTATAGATTATACACGCCACACCCTGTATATGGGTATTCCAATGGGAACACCAGACAAGCAGCCCGAGAATACCGACGAAGATACCCAAATAGACATTATCCTACCCACACAGTCTTTAGTGCGTCATTTCGTAGACCTCGAGACGAAGGTAATCCCGCTCCAAAAAAGGCCATTGGTCCTACTAAAGTGAATGTACAAAATGTCTTCTATAATAGATGCTTTCATTGACAACTTTTCAATTAGTTTTCGACGTATGGTAAGTAATCTTCATTTATCATCGAATTTTCTATGGCGTGTATTAAACAAAGAAATGTTACATTCGTTTAATCGCCAAAATGTACAAACGTTAAATGCTGGAGATGTTCCTCAGTAGAATTTTGTCGCTGGTTACTTCAACAACATGCACAAAATGATTCATTTCGCTTCTCATGTGGTCTTATGAAGCGTGTTTTACTGGGGACGGCATAAATAATAATCATAATAAACATATCTGGGCGTTACAAAATCTACATGTAATTAAATTAAGACGGGTTCAGCAACGTTTCAGTGTCAACGTTTGGGGTAGCATTTTCAACAATAATTTACTGTCTGCACATGTTTTAAATGCAGATATGTATAGAACTTTCTTGGAAAACAACCTTTTTGATTTCATTGATGACGTAGGATTAATATTAAGTACGTCGTAAGCTGTATTAAAGACTATTATTATGTAAAGAAATGTAATCTTTCTAAAAATATTACACAATAATGCCTAGATATATTTTTCCTCTTAAAAATACTATGTAGTTTTCCTGTTTCTTAGTATAATTACACATTAGGTATCGTAAATATATTTATCTACACCGACAATGTAAATTTTGCATTTTGGGTGAATTACAGAAAAAGTGTAAAATTACATGCTTTATGTAACTTGTATGATGTAATTTTACATCATACATATCTTAATTGTATCACCCGCACTTTTCCGTGGAGACTCAGTATTATGATGTCTGTACTTTACACAATTATTTGCATGAAATAAAACCGTTTTCTATTGTCGATACAATAGAAAAGCAACTTCCAATTTAGTTTCAATTTTCTTATTTGCTGGTCGCGATTGAGTACAATAAAAGCTTTCATCGGTAAATTTGAGGTTAAACATTTCTGAAAAAATAATGAGATTAGGTTGTTGTATGTATAAAGAAAACCTTTTACTTACTTTTGCTCTCAACACAGTCGACAGTTACATAAAAGTGTTCAGTGTTGTATTAAAGTATGAAAGAGTGTAATTCTTAAAAATAAAAATCAATGGAAGAAAAAAACAATTTTACAAAACCGAATATCTTTCACGGCAAATAATTCAAATCGTCTGTTGCGGCGACTCGTCGGTTTGCACTAGTATTTCGAGAAGAGTCGATCTAGTTGCAACGTTGCAAGAAGCGTGTTAAATTTAAAGAAGAAATTACCTACATTGCAACTGGTTTACAAATCTAATTTACTAATTACTAAATCTATTCTAATGATTCGTTCGATTTTAATTAATCCGTAGTTAACGGTCGTGATATATATATCATGGAGAAAAAAACATAAACAAAACCATATAGACCAGTACATCATCGGGTGCATGGTGGAAGTCTAGAACTCGACAGTTATTTTATTTCGTCACTTGTTACGGCAACACTAGCTGATCCATAAAATTAATTTAAAATTATTTTGATCTAATGAACCATCATTATAAACTGTATATAAATTAGAACATTTTATTTATCCACCAGTGGAGAGTTAAAATTAGCACTATTAACATGAACCTTAAAAGTGTACGTATCGATTTTTTTTAGGAAAAAGATTGTTGAACAATTCACAGACTGCAGACAGTTAAATGGTAGTGATGTTAATGTTTAGTTGTTTTCAGATATTGTGCGTTAGTTTAGCTGCGGTTACCTTGACTTTGGGAAATAATTCGCAGGACGGTGTGCAACAGAATGTAAGTTGACTTTTTTTAATATTATTTATTTATCGAAAATTTCAAAAACTTACAATTAGTTTTTCCAAACGGACTTCAAGATTTTTCGTTTTAGATATGCAGAGTGGTACATCGATGTAATTAAAAAAAATTGTTCTTAAGACCTAGCATGTTTATTAAACTGTTACCATTAGCTAATTTCGCTCACTCCAGGTTACTGTAAACAGATAGATGTAATTAAATTCAACATTTACCTAGTTATTTAATATTTTATTATATTTAATTATTATTTAATAAAACATTTTGAAACTATTCTTTTTGGTCTTGTAAACGATTTCATTTTATTATTCAGTTTAATTAATTGTAATAAAATCTATATTCTTTTGCACTAATAATATTGTATCGGTATAACTTTATGTAAATGAGACACCAACCAAAAGATATACAGACTGGGCTCATGAAAACCAAACAGAACGAATAACTCAGGAAAATTACTTTTCCGAAAAACACTGAGACAGGTAGATTTTTTATCGAACGGGGACATCTTTTCATATGAATTTTTTGTTAACAGACACACCGTTTGAAATATATTTTAATTCTCTACACAACCGTGTTCAATTTTTTTAATTTAACCGATTAGTTTCGGTGATACAGGTTGTTCGCGAGATGACTTTGCCTGCCGACTACAATTTTGTGAAATAATGAGTGAATGAGTTATTAACAATCTTGATTTTATTTTTAATATCTGCTTCTCGGATGAGTGTTCTTTTTCTGTTAATGGCACCGTTAATCGTAATAATTGTCGTTATTGGTCCGATTCTAATCCAAGGATATTTTATGAGAATCATACACAACATTCGCGAAAATTGCATGGGCTGGAATTTTTGGTGACCGTATTGTTGGTTCTTTTTTCTTACCAGGTAATCTCACCGAGAAGACGTACCTAGATTTGTTGGAGAACAACATTGATTCTATGTTGACAAATATTATCAAGAATAATGAGAATTATTTCGAAGACCAGTTAATATTTCAACAGGATGGAGCTCTCCCATACTACGCCCTGCCTGTTCAGTGAATTGGGAGACGGGGCATCTTGGAATGGCCTGCACGATCGCCGGATTTGTCTCCTTTGGACTTTTTCTTGTGGGGTCACTTAAAGTCCAAAATGTTTTTCACTCCACCTACTTCCCTTCAATTTCTACGCCAAAGCATTGTCAACGAATGTTACTCCAGAAATGTTAAAAAATGTGCGTGATGGCCTTTCATAAAACTTATATTACTATATGGAGGCTGAAGGTCATCAATTTGAACACTTAATTAGCTCACATGTAGTAATTTGCAAGAAATTTATTTATTTTTTCTGAAAAAATGTCCCTCTTCGATCAAAATTCGAAATGTCTTGGCGTTTTTCGGAAAAATTATTTTCCTGAGACTGAATCGCTCTGTTTAGTTTTCAAGGACCCACCCTGTACATTAATTTTACTACTACTACAAATAATTTGTATTTCGTAAGCATTTCCCCAAATGATTTCAAATGTTAGGCTATGGTAGGTTAGTTTAGACGAAAATTATATATATTTTTTATAACGAGTATTTTAGATGATGTAAAAAAAATCGAACTTGTTTCATACACGATTTTAGACAGTTTTTAGATATATAGTAAATCTGATTTAGATTAATATGTGTTTCTTGGATATTTATACTTCAAGTATAAATAAATCCACTACCATAAGAGTTTCCCCTATTTTTTTAAGTAGTCAAACTGTACAATTGCAATTGTTTAACTATATGCAATTTTCATCTTACGTAATAAAATTGTGAATTGTATGTATACCTATGTATTGTAGCGAATGCACTGTTATTAAAATGTCCAACAGCTTCCTATTATTAAATGTGTTGCAATAATAGTAAGTAAAATACGTTTTTGTATCTGACTTTTGTCACATAACTACGTTTTGAAACCTCAAAATGCAATTACATTGTAGACGTAAATATTTATGATTTTCTTTAATAACAATTATACGATACCTGACACGTGATTAACTGGTAAAAGTTACATTTCAAATTCAAATAAGCTTGATGTATTTAAGAAAAATATGTTTCTATTAAAATTAACTAAATAATATTAGTTTTTATATCCATACGTAGCCAGTGGCTTCTCTTGACTCCATATCAGGGAGGGCGGAAAAATTTGAGTAAAAAAGTATTGAAAAAAAAAAGGATAATTGGGCAGTTTTATTTTAAGTACTATTGAAATATAGGGAAAATGCGTTCAATATTATTTTTTATAGTGAAAGTCTATTCTCTGCTTTTGTCCGAATTAAACTTTTCAACTACTTACAATTAGTACTTCCCTTTTAACGTGTTAAACTTTTACTTTGAAATTTTTTAGGGGGGCGTCACCCCAGTGCCCCCCGCACCAGCCGACACTGGACGTACCGCATTTAGAATAATAATAAATACAAAATATTACTGAATAGACTGAATGAATATTTGTCGTAAATTTATGAAATGTGAGAGAAAATAATTACATTCCAAATAAAAATAAAATAAACTGTTCCAGGGGGATGCTTCTTATGAGTTTGGATATGACATCCACAACCCGTTATCCAACGATATTAAGTCACATCACGAGGTGAGAGACGGCAAAAACGTGCTCGGTTTCTACACCTTCAGAGAGGCAGACGGCTCAATCCGCGTTGTCAAGTACAAAGTGACGCCGGAAACGGGGTTCGAAGCTGTGGTGGAAAAACTCCCCGACCCGCTATCTGGAAACGCCATCGACGGCCAGGAAGCCGCTCCATCCCCCAACGGAGCTGCGCAGACCATAAACGAACAAAACGGAGGTGCCAACAGCCAGTATGTCGCCGGAACTGGCGGAATCAATAATAACCGCAACCCACGTGGCAATGTACCTGCACCACCTGCTCAAAATTATAACGGGAATCCCCCGGTTCAAGGTCAGGCGCAGGAACCCCAACAACACCACCACCCCGGTGTTATTAGAAACAATCAGCGGGGTGCAGTACAAGATCAAAATCAGGGCGTTCAAGCTCAAGGAAGTAGTTACCTGGACATTCCTAGGGCAAGACAAAAAAATCCGTATATTGCCCACCAACGACTCTTGCTGGAAGGTGTACAGCAACAAAGGCAAAGGAACCAGATTGTAGCACCTCAACCTCAGACACAACAGTACGCGGATAATCCCGCTCAACCAAATTCTTACGGCAGTGGTAAAATCATATACATCAACGGCGTGGCTTATATCGACGACATAGGCCTGTATTCTAACTCACAAGATCAAAACGGTAACACTGGTCAATTGGTTCAAAATCCGCAGTATGAGCTTATACAAAACCCAGACAGTGAAGCAAATGATGAAGCAGCGACAAACGCTCAAAACAACGAAGAAGTGGAAGAGGATGATTTCGAAGAGGATGACGACGAAGAAGACGAAGACCTCGCTAATTTCGAGGAAGAGGATGAAGAGGAGGACGAAGACACCGATGCGTCCGATTTATATGAACAGAACGAGCAATTCATTACTGATCAGAAGGAAGCGTATGCCCGATTAAAACAAGCTTATGAAGAGGAGGAAGATGGACAGAAACCGAAAGAAGAGGGAGTTCAGGAACAGCAAGCACAACCTGTTCAGGCGGCCCAGTAAAGGGGGATATAATTATACTTAGTTATGTTGCTGGTGATCACAGTTATACTGGAAGGTGATGTGACAGACAGGGATGTGAGCAATTAGAAAGAGAAGTAACTATTTGACTTGCTGAAAAAAAAACGTAGTCATTTTGCCATAGTTTGTTTATTTAATACGATACATTACATAGAGTAAGTCTCATAAAATTTTATGTTTCAGTAGGAATAATTTAGGTCTAGAGTATATGAAAGTACTAGGTAGACATCTCGAAAATACGTTTGAATTGTGATAAAGTAATTCCCAATATACTTTTTCTTAATTTTAAGTTAAATATTTTTAAGTAACTGTTATATAAAAATATTTTGAAGATGCTCATAAAAATTATGTCTTATTTTTCAAATAGTACAGTTTTTTATAAAGTGAAGTCTTTGTTGATAGTCTTAGTTGTGAAGGTGGATCGAGATTTACAAGAAAAAAATGTATATTACCCGAGAATAAATTTACTAAATATGATTGTTTTTCAGTAATTGTTAACAGTTCTACCTATCCATTGAACGAAACTTTTTACCAGGGATTACAACGTCTGTAAGTACTATTATTTAATCATATTATGATGTAAACAATATAAATGATGATTCTCTTTTGGAATAGTTGTAAATATTCAAGCCTCATTATTGTCTTTTTCCATAAAACGTGTTATTCTTCAGAGATAATAACGTACAGTACATCATACAATTAAAAAATTATTAATTGTACATGTTTTTATAACGAAACCCTTCAGTTATGGTAACCATAGCAAGTAGGGGTGTTACAAAATACTACAATAAATTATTGTACTGCTTTTGATTATTTGGTTACAAAAATATAACGTGACTTGCCTTGCATATAAATACGAGTATATAAAGGGCGAGTATATAAAGGGCGAGTCAACGCTGGACAAAGTTGATTTATTGCTAGAATATAATTGAGGCAAAATATTTCAAAAGTGGTTCGGATGCGGGGGTAAGAAATGTACATTTTAAACATAATTCGTTTTCGGAGGGCATACCAAAGTTGTATATTTTGAAATGCAACACCCTGTATTTGAGTGAATATTTATATTTTAAATTGAATTATGCAACTTTTTCGTAATAAGTACTATGTGCCAAAAATGAGCCGTTTCCGAGATATTAATATTATAATATAAAAAATGATATTGATAAAAGAAAGTTTTATCAAGTGTTACAATAGATGTTCAAAGATATTTAAACTTTCTCGAATACACGAGTTCTGGTGTAACATCAAGACAAGTTTATCTTATTTTATTTATCATATCGTCATAAGTAGTTGGTGGCTCTCTATATACAATGTCTTTTACAAACCCCCACAAAAAAAAGTCAAGTGGTGTAAGGTCATATGATCTAGGCGACCATAACAGTAGCACACCTCGACCAATCCATCTATTGCGATAAATTTCATCAAAATAGGCTCGACTTCTTCTCTAGAGAAATTCATTACGAACAAGTAAGAACAAACTCATATAAACAATATTAATTAAGATTGACTATTTGAATCACAGAGAAACGCTACTTCAGCAGTCAAAGCTGCTGACAGGAAAAACTATTGACAGTTACTTACAAACACTTCTTTTGTTTCACTGTCATATCAATGCCTCCCTAGGATATTTTCATAAAAAATGAAGAAATTGCTAAAAATATCGTAAAAAATGAGGAACTGATATATACCATTTGTTATGAAAGTTGTAGATTTTGAGAACGTCTATCACATCCAGTTAAAAAATACAGGGTGTTCCATTTAAAAAAGTATAACTTTGGTCAGCCCTCCGAAACGAATAAGTCAATTTTTTTTAAAATGTGGTTTAGTCAGAAAATAACAGTAATCACATTTTGCAAATATAAAGACACGATCTTTTAGCTATCTTATTTAAAGCAGACAGAAATTGTAAAAAATAAGTAAGCTTTTATTTTACATTTAATACAATATGTATAAAAATAGCTTGAAATAACTATTTCTCGAAAAATCAACAAAAAAAAAGTTTACAAGAATGAGGTATCCCATCTGGGGACACAATTCATTGAATAAACGTAATAGAAGACTTATATTTCGTTCTTACTTTTATAGCATTGACGCATGAAAAAAATTAGTTAATATTTTGCTTCCATTATTACAACAAATTATTTTAAAATGAACCGTTTAATTTTGTTAATACTACTTAAGAGCAGTGAGCAAAAATGTCGTACTTATACAATGTAAAATGATGCTTTAAAATATTTTAAAATATAACGTTAGATGAATCTACGAATGTAGTAGGGTGTTTGTCACGTTTTCAGGTATTAGCACATATTAAAATAAGTGGCAAAAACCTATAGTGACCTATATTTTTTATTTTTTCATCAATTTTAGAAAATGTAAAAGTAAAACGAATTTAGCTTACAGCTGCGCTGAGATAAACTAGACTTAATTGCGCCATCTATTATTAAGAAGCTCAACTAAAATCTTATACCACCATCCTCCTTTTATGTAATAACAGAAGAGAATAGAATAATAAGTATTCTGTTCTGTAATATGTCCATTGTTCATAGTCTAGTACGTCACAAGTTGATAACAATTCGCGTTAACTTTCATTAAAATTCTAGTAGGATCGTATTCGATGCAAAGTAGAGTAAACAATTGTCTTTTATCAAAGGAAAATCGTGTCATCATTTTTAGGACGCGTAAGATGAACCATTTCAAATTTAAAATGAAATTGAATGTAAAATCTGAAATACCGCATCATACGCATTGTGTTCTGGTAATAGATGTAGGTAATAGAGTGTACGAAGTTATACGTCAAATACTAACCTGGCGAGCTTGGTCATAAATCAAAGACCGCCTCCAAAAAACAAGTAAACAACACTGGCGCGTACAGAGGTAAAATGTAGTACATATGTGGAATTTAAAAAACAAATTGGATTTATAACAAATTACATTTAAATAAATAGTTTATGAGAATAAAGGAAAGGGTGCCAGACGTGAACTGATCCCTTCATCCCTTCATAATGCATCAAGAAATTATTCAATTTCTAAACCCCTTAAAACCGTACTGCACTGGATCCCTTGGCAGGCAATGATTTATTACTTTGCATGGAAAATGATCCTACCATAGTAGGTATTTAGTTAAAAATCACTACGCACTTTTTTTATATAAACAGCCAATTTTTTCTGCAAGCTTACATAAGGAAACAATATTTAGCAGGTAATGTGTATTATATTTATTTATGTAAATATAACAGTGAATATATCTAACGAGCACTTATGTAAGTAAATATATCGAGAAATTAATTTATTTTTTTAAGATTAAATCAAGTATTAATGCTCTGGTATAACAAAATCATTTTCGTCCTCTGTATTGTTTTGTTTCTCTGTGGCATAATATTAATTTATGCTCTGATTGTTTCGGTATCAGCTGTCGGGTAGATATTATGGTTAGCCGGTGATGTAAGTCGATTTAGTTAAGAAATTTTAAGTAAGAGAAAAATTATAATTAAAAGTTTTTACAACGTAATTCATTAGGCTACAGAATACGACGTTTTAGTCATAAATCAGATGAATACGAATAATTGGACGTATATAAATGATGTTTATACCGAATGGTTGTCCTTTAAATACTTGCAGTATACTCAAATGCAAATATTTTTGTCAGTTTAGCATCAGACCAGGATATTATATTAAAACTACACACGTTCTAATTTGACACAGTTTATTTAAAATCGTACGAAAGTAGAAAACGCCAATTAATGAAGAGAAAAATTGTTTGGTTCACTTCTAATATCCATGATGACCTCCATCACCTCCATGTCCTTGGTTAGCCCAATGCGTGGTTCCAACGTAGCTGGTAGCTCCTCCATGTCCATGGCCGTAACCATGACCGTGCCCATGACCATAGTGAGCGGGATGTTGAGCATGGCCAATCCTTTCGACTACTGCTTCGAATCCAGTGTGAGGTCCTGATCTATATTTAACTACCCTCGTGGTGCCGTCGGCTTCTTTTAAGGTGTAGGCTCCAGTCACATGATGACCATCTCTGTGTTCATGCTGCGACTTGATGTCGTGGGTGTGAGGGTCGTGGACACCGTATTCGAATTTGTAATGGGCGTTATCCTAGGGAAAAGAGTATCTAGTTTGTTTGGAAGATGTAGGGTGTAGGATATACTTACGTGGCCAGCCCAAACATTTAAAACGATGGTAGAGATTACGAGTAAGACCTGAAATATATTAAAATTTCAGTAAACACTAACAGGTACTCTAGTGGAATTAGATAAAAGATTAGAGAAAAAGTGAACTTACAATTTTTGCCATTTTAAAATAATGTACACGTGCTGGTGTGTTACTGAACGAGTGGTGTGTTGCTACTGATAACAAATTCGTTCTTATCCGAGTATATATATATATGGGGCTAATTTCTCGAAGGGTATGATAAAAATTATGTAAGATCTGGCAAATAATAGGTAATGAGCTGTAAACAATGTTAAGTATTTGATATTTCATGTTTCTATATAAAAGTAGCGAAAAAAGAAATCATTTTTCATGGTTCATGTAATACTAGTTATTGTTATTGCATATATTTTACTTAATTTAGAGCTACATATAAAGAAAATATGTGTGTATAGGTACCACCCAATGAATGTAATTTTAAGATAATCGATTTAGATAAAACAAGGTAACAGAATTGCGGAACAAAAAGATATTAGACAATTATTTTCTGTCTAGCAGATTTGTATGCAACCTTTTATATAATTTTTAGTGCAACGAACCCAATGTAAAAATTCATTTTTAAAGAAATGTCAAACACTGCATTTATACTTTAAAATGTTAAGGGGAATACATTTTTTCTTTCACGGATACTGACATAATTACTTATTTAAAAAATTTTTATAAAAAAAACGTGCATAACACTTTAAAAATTCATTTTGTTCGTGAGTTTTAGATGACAATATTGCCAGACTAACATCGGAGCTCATTTTCTGTCTGAATCTACCTCCCTGCTAATGTCTCCTGTCTTATCACTCCCCTTGCGGACTCTCTTCTTGATCTGCACATCTTGCTGACAAGATGAGTTCAGTCAAGCTATAATTATGAAAAAATAATCTTGCGTTATTATATTAGTTACCCTAATAAATAAATTATCTGTTTATATTTTTTTATGAATTTTTGTAAATGTATTTTTTCAATTTTATTTGAAATTGCAATAAGAGGCAAAACATTTTTTTTATTTTAATTTTTGTCAACGACATGTTGTTTCTGTTTGCTCTACAGATGATCCCCAGAACTGATGGTTGCTTGCCATTAGAGCAAAACGCAAGAAACAAATAGGAGTCTGCAAGCAGGGATGTTTATGGTATGAAGACATTAGTATTTGACTTAAAACTCTATCTTAATAAATTTACAGTCCTAAGGGCTCACATCATCCCAATTATTTCTTCCGATTTCACATATTCCATCACAAGAAAGTCCTTATTGTGCTCAATAACTTTTATTAAACATTTTTTAGATATCTCTTCCAATTTAAAACAAACAGTATTAAGCTGTTGAAAATAGGATTTTATTACATGAATCGTTCAAATGGTAATTTTAGATGAAAAAACCGCGGAGTGCTATTAAATTAGAGGGTAGAAATTGGAGATAGGGGTGAAAATGCACCCCTTTCAGTTTTTTCATTGTAGCTCGAAAACGAAGCAAAATTTCGCTATAGTTCATAGGAAAAATTATTTAGAGAATTGAATATCCCATGGAAATAACTGATTTAAAAAATTTACAAGGAAAATTTTATGCAAAAAAATCGTTAATAAACAATTTGAAAAAAAGCAAAAATTAGATTTTATGTTTTTTTTTTGCTTTTTTGCCTATAGTTTTTTTTTTCGAGTAAAGATAGGTATAGGTAAGTATAGGTAAAAAAGTAGAAAAAATTTCTTTCAAATCAAGAGGTTGTATAGTATTTTTGGATGAAAATTGACTGATATATGGCCGCTCAAACTTAGCCAACTTTCGATTTTCGTCGCGTTTACCCCTATACGTTTTAATTCTCATTTTTTGCAAAACAGGAAGGAAGACGTTTTTTAAATATAGTACGAAAAAAGCAAAATTTCGGTATAGTTCATAGGAAAAATTTTGTAGAGAATTGTATTTCTCATCGAGGTGGCTTATTTAAAAAATGTAAAAGGATAATTTTATGCAAAAAATCGTTAATAAACAATTTTAAAGAAAGCAAAAAATAAAATTTTTTGATTTTTTTTACTTTTTTAATAAAATAATTTAGTAAAGACATGAGAATTTAAGTAAAATAAAGTTTATTAATAATGTATATACAGTATGTCCACGGATGGAGTTGACAAGATGAGAAGCTCTTTTGTTTTTGACTTTATCGAAAAATGTCACTCTTCATAAAAAGTTCTGCCCCTCGAAAAAATTAAAAAAACACGAAAATACTCAAGAGAGAAGTACCATTATTTATTATTTTACATAACATTTTTATAAAACAAATCTGTTTATAACCTCAAATACAATAATACAAATTTTAAAATAAAATTTTTTTAAATAAGCTATATCAATGGGAAATTCAATTCTCTAAATAAGTTTTCCTAAGTATAGCGAAATTTTGCTTCGTTTTCGAGCTACAATTAAAAAACTGAAAGGGGTGCATTTTCACCCCTATCTCCAATTTCCACCCTCTAATTTAATAACACTCCGCGGTTTTTACATCTAAAATGCCCCTTTAACGATTCATGCAATAAAATTGCTTGAACATCATAGTTCCTTTTAATCCTGTTTTTTGGATATAATCAATAGCCTATATGTACAACGAAAAATAAAGAAGGAGGAAACAAACGAAAATAAGATGTAAAGAGAACAATACAGGTTCTATCAAGTATGTTACTGATTATCATAGCTGCCTTGGAAAAAACAGTACAATAATTATGTACCTTTTAAAATAGAAGATATCGAAAAACATTTATATCATCATGTCATAAAGATCTCTGTTTGTGGTTTCTAGTTGCTCTTTCCGTTTCCTTGCAACGGCGGCTAACCATCAATTCCAGGTCATCTATTAACTAATATTAATCTTTATCAAATAGAACATTAGCAGGATTGCTGTGTTTAATATGAAAACGGTCTCACAAAATATTTCATAGGAATGAATGAAAACATAAATGAAAAAAAGCGACATAAATAAAAGGTGAAATTAATCTGGGTTTGTTCCGATTGAATTAGCAATACTCAGGGTCGAAATAAACATATTTTATGTTTCAACCGCACATCCCAGACATTTTCTAGTGGTTATTTCTAGCAGCGTGAAGGAGGCTTAATAATTCTTGCAACAGATCGTAATTATTCAAAGCAGGAATTGTTCCAAATAAAAAATAATATAAAAAAGGTTAGTGTCTACATTATCTCTTGAGTTCTTTCAACACGTATTTGTTTATTGCAGGCTATGTGCAAATACCTAGTATCAAAGAAAAATAAACCGTATATAATTAAATAATTTTTTATCTTTTAAATTAGATCAGAAAAATTAAACCTTTGAATTTCTCCGTATTGATTTGATGCCCACACTTGAAAAAGTTAATAACATGTTTAAAAACAATAGACGGAATAATATTATCGTACAAAAATTATGTCTAATAGTAAAACTAGCGACATATTCATGTAACATTGTTAATATCTCGTTAGTTCCCAAAAATTTGCTTTTCTGTGCTCCAATAAATTTAACCCACGGAATCGTTGAAGCATTGAATAATTAATATTTTAAAAATTTAATTAGTAAAAAAGCAAGTACCTGTATTGTTATGCAAATGATATGAGTTTTTAGGTTCTATCAGGGAGTTGTAGGAAAATGTACAAACGTTTGTTATGTTATGCAATTAATTCTGTATCTCTTTACAAAGTTTTCAGGGTTGTACTGGCTCTTTGTGTCTATATTCTTAAGTTTGGTAAATCCACAGATGTAGATTATACGTCATATCATTTGTAAAGCGATTTTTACTACGATCACAGATATTTTGGTATGCATTACAAAACTAATAAGATTGTTACAGTTAATCATTGACATTAAAGAAAAAGAACGATAAGAAAATATAAAATATTTCACTTTTCATCACAGAAAATTGTCACGTTACTAAGGTAAGTATTACATTTCTTACATTTTAAAAGTAAATGTAGGTGCAAATACATTATAGAGAGAATATTTCATTAGTATATAGATACAACGAATTAATTTGACATATAGAGAAATATTAAAAAAAATATGCTAGGAAAAATTCTTTACCAAAATGTTTTCTATATGGAGACAGAAATAGTATTAACCTAAATATTACCTCAGAAGCTTCCTCTCCAATTTTCATACGAAACTTTTCTTTCTTTTGTGGATCTTCATTTAGTTATCTCTTCAATATCCAATATAAAATTTTTTACATAGTTTTGTATTTTAAATTCTTAACCACGACGTTTCTTGAAATTTGGTTCTGTCGTTAGAACATTGGCGGGATCCCAAGAATATTTCCCTAATTCTTTCAATCGAGTCATCACCTCACACGATCAAATGAGTTCATACAAATATAAGTGAGATATAATCTACAAGATGCGCTATATTTTAAATAGTCAGTGTTGTGCAATGTCAATTAGGACAAAACGTTGTTTTTAATCTGAAGAATAATTTAAGCTATTTACTAGAAATTGCGGGAGTAATGCAATGTTGGACGGGGCTTTAGTCAGTAGAGTAGTTGCTATAACAATATCATTAGTTACTTCCATTTTTAGGGGTATCAAATAGATCCGTATCTTATTTACCCCAAGCCTAAAATTTTAAGGGAAGTTAACAAGACACAGTTGTTTTTTCTTAAAAAATCTATTGTCATTAATTATATGATATACTGTTTCTCAAGATCTTACCACGTGTACCAATTAAATTTGAAGTAACAGAAATCCATGCCAAAAGTAAGATTTTTAACACTTTGTAATTTTTAAAATTAACTGGTTTTGGACGAAGGCAAGTTGATTTAAATAGTTTTTATTTCAGAAATTAGTTATTGCTGTAAGGTTAGTCTTTTCTGTGTATTGTATAACCTCATCTTCATAAAAGAAAGTGAATCTTTAGACTAGCGGAGCATCTCCGTTACAACTTGATCAAAAATATTTTCTAAATCCTCATTAAACGAAGTCGTACTTTAATAGCATTAGATATTTTATATGCTATTCATACTTCTCTACTCTACTCTCATCTCTCTGATTTTGGGGCACATTGACTTTCTCTGAATTTGGAGATACGCTATGATTACTGCATCTGTTTGAGGTTGAAAAGTTTCGAGCCCACACTGTTACCAAATGAACCAAGAAAATAAGTTTTTTACCTCACCAATAAGTAATCAATCACGGCGTTGCTTATCAATTTATTGCAAAATGTACTGTTCTGTACGGACAAATTTCCTATATAAATAATGGAAATTGCTCTCATATCATCAGTCAACTCAACGATACCACACGGACAACATACAAGATGCATATTAAGACAGTATGTACTGTAGAATATCTCAAAAATATCATTAGGAAATAGAAATGTTCATTAGTTAACTTTGTGTGTGCTAGGTATTGGAAAAATTATAATAAGTATCGATGATTCTGACCGGTAGATTTCGCTGTGACACAATTATTTTTTTCCAGGCAGTTTTTGTGGTACTTGCTACGATGGCGGTTTGTGCCTTTGGAGGTCATCATCACGACAATGTAAGCATTTTTTTTATATCCTTGAATTAATTTATAATCTTTCTCAAGATTAGGCTACCTTTGTGGTTGGAGATATGATGAAACGAATGAAGCAACAGTTGACCTTTAGAAATGCAAATAAGTTTGTTTTCTCAAATTGCGACGTGAAATTTGTTTCCTTTTTACTTTTTTTGTAATTATCATACTCCGCCGCTGAACAGGTTAGTGTAAATTCAAACCGCGTGCGCTAGCAAAGCCGAGTAGATATAATAAGGATATCAGCTGAAACCGTACAGACTGAATCTAGCGTGCATCTTACATAGATACATCAGTTCGTTCCAATATTCCAATATTTAATAATTTAATATTAATTAGAAATAATAGCCCCATATGGAGACCTCCATTTTCAATGAGTTCCATTTCTTCAAAGTACACAAAAATTGCACTCATACTAATAGGTCTTTTAGATATTATGTTGGGATAATAAAAATTGTTACATAACTAACAGGTAAAAGAAAGCAACTAAAGTAAAGACGGAATTTACAGTTGACATTGATATAATTATAACGAAACTTTCCTTGAGTGATGCCTGTTCCCAGGCTACTTTCGCTTATACGAATTTATCTTCAATCCGCATGCTCCCTAGCACTGATATTTTATTTTATTGCTCATTAGTCTATTCTATTTGGAACAACGGTTGCCAAAGTTCATCTTTCTTGATTCGTATACATGTTTTTGCATAATATTACACATAAACTTAATAATGAATTTACAAAAACACGTCGTACCATCATCATTAGACATTGAATAGCTTTATAATATTGTACACTTACTTTACAAGATACTTTAATAAATTTTACTCTAAAATAAAACCCAACACTGGACTATATACCTAAGGTTTATTAAATCAGAGCACTGACACAGCTTTATCTCAAGTAGGTAGTCGATGATATACTCAATAATACTAATAATTGCAGTCACCTGTTGAATTTTAATAAATTTTAGCAAAGCGTTTAACATGTACTTTGCGCCATACATTGTTATGTAAGAAACTATTTTGTGTTTGATTTCTTCTACCGCTCTCATAGAAAGTTACCTCAATTTTAGAAGTCAAAGGGTATATCTAAAACCTAAAGTATCTGATGCCTTACCTGTTTAATACGGGGTCCCACAGGGATCCATTTTGGGTCCTTTACTATTTTCTGTATATTTCAAATTATTATAAAGCTATTTCTTTTTGTAATATACATCGCTATATGGACGATAACTCAATTGTAATTTGGTTTAAATTTGGATGGCCTTGTAGATATTGATAATAAAATGAATCAAGATGTATGTTCGCTTTATAAGTTATTAGTCCAATCAAATTGTCGAAAATACCTCATTTTTTTTTGTCAAAATTTAGTTCAGTAATTGAAAATATGTAAAAATTAGGAAAAATTCCATAGAATTCAATGAACTACTTTACTCCACCTGAATTTTTGGGCTTCATTTTCAAAATGGCGTCCAAAGTTCGCAATTTTAGAAAAAAATGTTTCAAACAAAAGTTGTAGGAATTTTTAATATGGATCGAATAAACCTAAACCGATAAATAAATTAATTAGTTATTGAAAAAAAAAACTCTAAAAAGCTGTATCCCTTTCAAAAATAAATATTTTTTTTATGAAACTTGGTGAAAGGAATTGAAAAATATTTTAAAGTTTTTGCAAAAATCGAATTTTTCGGAAAAAAAGCGTTTTTGTAAAGTTCCCATAATTCATAGGGCGCCACATTTTTAGGAACGGAGTTGGGCTTAAGATCGATTTCAAATATCGCAAAAAACTATCGAAAAATCGTTTTTTTTTGGGGCCATACAATTTTGATTATTTTTTTGATTTCAATTCGTATTAAAATGTCGATACTATCTTACCACTAACGGGGGCCGAGAATTTTTTTTTTTCGAAAAATCGCCACAACCTCATTTATTAATATTAAGGGCTGAAATTTACACATGTTGTAGTTGAATACTTGTATTTCAATATAAAAAATATTCCGCAACGACTGGTCCCATTATCTTTCATTAAAATTAATTTTTATGGGCCTCGTATATTGCTTACATTAAACATTTAAATAAAAGTATAAAAACTAGTATACAATCAGTTATTTTTTTGATTGTATGAAAACTATATTAATTTATTTTTAAACGTTTCTTAGACATCCATTCTTCTTCGCTACTACTGTTTAACATGATTTAACATCTTCTTCGTCGAAGTTTTCTTTGTCTGATTCGATTTCATTTTCTGATAAACATGGCTCGTCCATATGTTCCTCGATATATTCAATAACTATAGTTTTTTCTTCGATATTAGAGCAATTGTAATCTTTGCACTTCAAACATAAATTAGAACATGTTTTTGGCGTTATATTTGCATTTTCGCATCTACATGTCAATCAAGAAATATCAAGAATTTTTCTACTTTCCGCCTTTTTATTTCTTCAACTAACCGACATTACTTTTATTATTTTATTATCTCAATAAGATAGATACCATTCTGTAAATTCAAATTCATAACTGATAAAAAAAGCTTTATAAATGTACATGAAAAGAAAAAATACATGGTTCCGAAAAAAAACCGATTTTTCGATCGTTTTTTGCGATATTTGAAATCGATTTGAAGCTCGCGCAATATTTGCACAAAAAAGTGTAATTATTAAAGAAAATTTTAAGCCCAACCCCGTTCTTTAAAATATGGCGGCATATGAATTATGGGGATTTTACAAAAACCCTTTTTTTTTTAAACTCCAGTTTTGCAAAAACTGAAATATTTTTCAATTTTGAAAAAATCATTTTATTTTGCTCACCAAGAGCTATCCTCTCATAAATAAAAAATATTTTCATTCATATTCATATTTCATAAAAAAATATTTATATTTGAAAGAGATACAAGCTATTTGAAAAAATTGCGATTTTTAGCAGATTTTTGCAATAACTAATTAATTTATTTATCGATCAAAACCGGTTTGGGCTTATTCGATCCGTATTAAAAACTTTGTTTGATATATTTTTTTCTAAAATGTTTATTTTTTTTATAAATGAAAAAACTGTTTTTTGCGAACTTTGGACGCCATTTTGAATATGAAGCCTAAAAATTCAGGTGGGGTAAAGTAGTTCAATGAATTCTACAGAATTTTTCCTAATTTTTACATTTTCAATTACTGAACTATTTTTTGGCATCTGAAGTAAGTAAGAAGTAATTTGATTGGACTATACCTCTTGAACAAAGATTAAAGTTAAATCCAAACAAGTCACATGTTTTATTATTTGGACCAAGACAGAGGATATTAATATTGAAAAATTCCTTTCAAATTACTTTAGACAATATTTATATTAACACAAGAATCGAAAATTTGTTTAACGTTCGATGCTTCATCCGCACTGATTGTTTAATTCATTTTGGCAACACTGATAAGCATTTAAAAAACGAATTATAACTCGACAATTTAATTGATTAAAAAACATATTATTCTAATAGCATTCTGGCAAACAATAGTACCCGTAAAAAATTGCCCCCCACTTGCCCAACTATACCCCGTGTATGATTTAATAACGTTTGTTATTTTCTGTGCTAGGCTCACTACAAATTCGAGTATGGAGTGGATGACCCCCACACACACGACAAGAAGGAACAGCACGAACACAGAGACGGAAAGCACGTTACAGGGGGATATAGCTTGAAGGAACCCGATGGTACCCACCGCGTGGTAAAATACGTGTCAGGACCTCACAAAGGATTCGAAGCTGTGGTGGAAAGACGAGGACACGCGAAACACCCTGCGGTGTATGGCAAGCACAAGGGTCACGGTGAAGGTGGCACCAGCTGGGTTGGGGTCACCCACTGGCAGAACCAAGGGGACGAAGAACAGGGCCACGGACACGGTCACGGCCATGGGCATTAAAAAAGTACAAATATTTAGTTGTTATGCGTGTTAATCCTGTTTTTGTTTATACTTTTGCATATTTGAAAAAAACTTTATTCATCAGCTGGTTGTTTCTTTCATTTTCATTAACAAATCGTGAATTTAGCCCAAGGTTATAGTCTAATTAAATAAGCCATTAAATCGAAATTTTGGTCAACTTGCCTGAATTTTTGATATGAGTTAGTTTGAGGTATGTTATAGCAATAAGTGACAGTAATTTTTTGTTCAACCCCCGGCCAAGGGTGAAAAAAGATAAAACAAAGGAGTTTTTCAAGATAACTCAAAAGGGGCAAGGGCTAGAAAAAAAAGTTTCTTATAAAAGTTGTAAAGCATACAATTCTACATAAAAATGGCATCTTAACTTTTTCTTGTACTATTAAAATTAACAGAGTTAGGGAGGATAGAAGTTAAGGGAAGATTTCGGAAATTAAAAAAAATCATAACAAGCAGAAAAACGAATGAATTTTGTATTTTTTTTTCAATCTACTCTAAAAAATTTAAAGAGACACGTATTTCTTTATCGGCGGAAAAACATATTTACGGAGTGAAATACACCCTCAAAGATCGTCCCCCAAAACAGTTTTTTCAAAATTCCTGGGATTCTAATCAATATTTTGAAATGAAACAAAATGGAAATTACTTATGATAAAAAACAAATATTTCGCAAGTGATTCCGTATTTGGTGGTTGCTACCCTTATTTTTTATTTCAGAAAAACTATATTTTTTATTTATAAAAAAATCATATTTACTCAAAATGAATTAAAAATATGATTTATGTAAACAAATTGACAACATTAAATTGACCTGTTTCGAGGTTTTCGTTAAAAACTGTTTAGGGGGGTGAACTACAAATTTGACATTGTTATAACTTTCTTATTGAAAATTAAAAAATATCTCTATTTCTCTGAAAAGAAAGGTTACATTTTTTAGAGTAGATCGAAAAAAAATTACAAAATTCATTCATTTTTCTGCTTATGATTTTTTAAATTTCTGAAATCTTTCCTTAACTTCTAGCCTCCCTAACTCTGTTAATTTTAATTGTACAAGAAAAAGTCAAGATGCCATTTTTATGTAGAATTGTATGCTTTACAACTTTTATAAGAAACTTTTTTTCTAGCCTTTGCCTCTTTTGAGTTATATTGAAAAACCCCTTTTTTCGCCCTTGGCCGGGGGTTGAACAAAAAATTACTGTCACTTATTGTTACTGCACTCTAACGGATATATGGATAAGACTAGATTGCCTAGTAACTATCGATATGTAATAAGGCTTAGCCATTACGACACTGGTAGACATAAACCATCATTTTTGCTACCACTCATGCGTACGAGAGAATGAATATTAGTCTCGTCTATGAAAAAAATTTACCCTTTGACTTATTTAAAACGGTTCATGCGTCTTAAGACATGAAGTCGCTGCAGCTGCATTTCGGGTTTCTCTGTAAAAAGTTTTCTGTTGTTTCTTGTTTTGACCCACAAATCCCATTTTCTTGAGAAGTCTTCTGATACTTTCTCGAGAATCTGTATAATTGTCATCCTTGACAAATTCTTGGTGAATCCTTTTAACGATGAGCACTTTTTTCTCTACACTATAAACAATGACGAATGTACATCGAAGGAGAGCTATATCGACGTCATCCAAGCCTGTTTTGGGAGCTGATTTTCGCCTTTTCTTTAAAAATAACTTTCTACTCAAAAATATAATGCAGGCCGCTGTAATAAAAAGAGGCGTAGAACGTAGGTCTATATATCGGTAACATGATGTCCAATTTTTTCATCGTATAGACAGTAAGCAGCTCAAAAAGTTTGTTATAACTTTTAATCTTATCCCTTTTTTCATATCTCGAAATAGAGAGGAGATAATAAAGGTGACAATTTTGGGGTCACTGCCCTGTACATACAACGTAATTATTAAGCGACGCATTTTTTTTCTGTCCTCGATTGAGAAAGTTGTGATCGCAGTTGATCTCATTATTAATATTTAAAAAAAAAATCCATAATTGTGCGAATAATTTGAAGTAAATTATGGCTGCAACGCTTTGTCAGGATTTCTGCAAAATATCCGAAGAATAATACAAAATAATTAGTGTAATCAAATCAGCCGTGGTTAAATCCGTGACTTGAACCGCTAAAGGATTACTTGCAAATGTTCGAAAAAATATAACTTTTTCTATTATTTCAAAATTGTTGACTGAAAACAGAATAGAAGTATAACAGGTTGACTAAAATTGTTTACAACGAAATATTTGCCTCACTTCACAATTCAATTAACTATTTCGGTTGCAAGAAGTAGAAACTTGTAATTGAAGGAGAATCACAGTAAATGCTGATTTATCTGCATATATACAGGGTGAAGGTAATTCAATTACAAACAGTATAGGGTTTTAATTGAGCACGTACTCTAAGGAGTAATTCTTTGAGTGATTTTAAATCAAAAATAGAGACATGGGTCTGCAACTCCATAGCTATAGAGCTATATAGAGATACAGGGTGTTGAAATAAAAAAATCACTTTCTAAAATATCTCCGAGGACTTTTGTTATAGGTAAAATCAACTACCTATAATTCCTTGTAGTATTTCCAAAATGAAATATAGCTTTCATTTTCTATTTATTATTATTTTAAATTTTCGTTAACGTTATAAGATGTAAAATAACTCTGGACCTACTTTTACAATTTCAAGTGATTTTGGTGACCTTGATTTCCAGATAATTTAACTTGTAGCAGAATTACATCAACTTTTAACCTAATTAGTAATTCCTTTTTTGCTTTATAGATATTATCTAACTTCTTGCTGGTAAATTCCACATTTTCAACATCCTGTACGAACAAGTTTATTATTACCGCTGATTAAAAAATCACACTAAGCTGTCAGATAGAATCCAGGCACCAATTACAAAAGGTGTTAATAAGCGAGTAGGAACCGTTACCAACCCTTAGAATGCGTTCGAGGGGTTGATATCTAAATAAAATTTCACGCGATTATCGAAAGTATCACTCAAATAAAGGGTTGATTTGACACTAGGGGGTTACACGGGTTTCATGGTTTATTCGAACTCAGTAATTAAATTGTTAGGAAGTGACGTTTTAACTTCTTATAGTTTAACGGATTCTTAGAAATTTTTTATACATGGTGGTCCGAATTTTATGCAGGAAACTTCGAGGGCAGATAGATCTATTTAAAATAATATGTCTTTGCTTTATAAACATTGGTCTAAAACAGCCCTGTTTTAGAGATACAGGGTGTTGTTAAAAAAAATTGATTTTGAAATGACGGCTGTGTGAGTAAAGCTCTATGCGATTGATGTTGTTTCTCATACTCTTCAGTAACTTTATATCAAGATTTACATAATTTACATATTATTTATTTACCTCAGTATTTGTTTATAACATTATATTTAGGTAGTTAAAACACTGCTGTATTACTACGCTACAAATGAATCTAAACATGTGGTCTGCTAAACTGCTTGCAGAATTCTCTACACACACACGTGATAATACCATACCGGGTGGTCACGTGATTGATTTGATTGGTTAAGACAAAGAAGATCTGTGTAGATTCAAACTTGTATCTGTGTATTTACACCACGTGTAGTAAAAACATGTGTAAATACATAAAAAGTCTATGCAAATTACCACAATTTTTATCACAAAAAATATGTCTGTCACTAAAAATGATTACCTTAAATGTTATTTATAAAAAAATTTGAACAAAGTTGCTCATAATCAATAGATATTTAATTTAATAAATTACACTATGAAATTGTCGTTAGTTTCAATACTAAATTATTATTTAACAAAATTATTTTAATAACCTGACAGCATTTATATAAAGCGTATTTGTCAACTTAATTTTATTAACACACAATTAGAGCATGAAAGTTGGATTTATTATTTAAGTGGACCTCGAGATTGTACTTTAACTTTCCATTTTAATTACTTCGTTAGACAACATTATACAGAGCGGATCAAATAATTAAAAATTATTTCTTCCAGTATATTTGACACCCGTCATAATTTTCAGTTTATATAGGGGAGTATTACACAAATCTCTAGCGAAATTATTATTTGTAATAATAACAAATCCTGTATGTAGAGATCTTAGGAGAAACTGTTAAATTGCGTTAATGTAATAACTTGTTATTAATGTAGTGTGCAGTTATTCCAATGAAACAACCTTCGGACGGGTTCAGTGAACAGAAAAATTATATAAAGTAGCGTAAAATCTGCTGTTAGTGGTAAATGAACTGCTGAACATCCCAAAGGGTGACGAAACGCATAAATTTTACTTTCTTGTTTCGAAAGACAAGTAGTAAATACAAAAAATTGCAATAAGACGACGGATTTTATGAAATAATAGTTTTTCAAAGGTTGAATGAGCCTTTGTTTTACACAAAAAAGGAACAATACTTGTTAGATTTGTTAATATTTGCATATTGCTTAAATATTTATATAATAACAACAAAATATCTTCGTATACCCATGCTGAAAGTTAACAAATAACAAACTCAATTGTTACTATTATAATAAAACCAAACCATCAAAATAAATTAAAATTCCATTAATCTAGAACCATAACGAAGATTGTTATGGAGATCTGCATATTTCACAAAATTTACCACATCCTTTGTATTTACTTCATTTCTAGTCATGCAAAATATATATTTTATACTTATAAAGTATATGAATAATAATAATTGCAAATAATGACACATTTCAAAGTAAGCTGTGAAATATGTACCTAACTGTTTTTATTACCACCTACATGGCCAACCACACACCATTTTATTGCCGTTACGAAATGTAATATAAATGCACTATTACTTTTAATAAATTTACAAATTAAATTTAAAGGTGCGTTTTGACTTTAACGATTATAAACCTAGACCAGTCACTTATTAAGTAAATTGTTGTTTGTTTACTTGCATATGTACATACAAGGTGATTCATATTTCTATTTTTATTGTGATTTACCCCTTTGCTGTTAAGGTATTTGAACATTAGAACGAAAACATCGATTTAAAAAGACGTACGAGGTCTGTCCAGAAAATGACTTGCATCCTTTAAAGTACCCCCCGTTTCGCGATATTACGTGAAGCTATCACGAAAACTAAATGAGAAATCAACAACCCAAGAACATGTGGTTATAGAGGAGGTTATGCGCAACGCAATGCTGCCAACCGCATATCACTAAATATCTCCACTAGCGCGTAATTTAAAAAAATCTGATCAGACCTCGTATATGTATTTAAAAATCGATTTTATAGGAAAAACACAACATGTTCTTTATTTTAACTAATCTGGTAAATTTTTAATCACAAGTCATCGAAATATAAATTCACATACTTTTGATATTTTATAACCAAATAATTAACAAAATAAAAATTGTTATGTTTAAAATGATTGTTATCTTCCTGTAAGATGGAATCAGTAACATTAAATAATATTTGCTCTAAAAATAATTTATTACATGGGTACCATATACAGGGTGATTCATTAATAATTGTACATACGCTAACTGGATAATCCTGGGCTGAAAATATGAAGAATGAAAACACATAACGCTTAGATAAGATATGGTTCCTAGGGTGTTTAATTTAAAAAATTTTAAATGATTTTTGCCTATTATTAAAACTGTACTCAACTGTAAAATGTAATTCCCCTAATGCAATGTAATCCCGTGACAGAAGAAATGCAATGTAATCCCATGACAGAAGACACCGACTTAAATAATAATAATATGACAAATAAATTACATAATAAAATAAAAATGATTGTGCAGCCCTATGTTCAACTTTAAAAATCTAGAGAAATAATGACTTTGCCGCTATGAAGGAATAGCAGGTTAATTGCATAGAAAGTATGGAAGAATTGAAAAATTGTATCAACATAAAAATTCCGCCAATGGCGTAGAAGTTAGGAATGGGAAACTACACGTCTACCCCTGTCGTACGCCTCTGTAGTAGCCATAAACGATTTTGTAGCATTTTTTAATATGTTCTACAGTATCTAAAATTTATGTCAAGTATGATAGGGAAATATCAAACATGATTAGAGTAATGGACAAAAATCATTTAAAATTTTTTAAGTAAAACTCCCTATAACTCCGTAAGGAGCTATATTTTATCTAAGCGTTATGTGTCAGTTCTCCATATTTTCAGCCCAGGATTATCCAGTTAACGTATGTACAATTATTAATGAATCCCCTGTATATCTCTTAATCCGTAATTAAAAATTCTTGCAACTTAAAAATTATCGTGGCACTAAAATCTAGTAGGTTAGTCAAAAATAAGTGTCTGTGAGATTGATTTCGGGTCAAGCTGAAAGATAACCTACCACAGAAAAGTTTGTAATTTAGTCCTTCATAATTATCTTGAAAAAATGCGGTTTGTTTTTTCTGATAAAATCGTTTTTTCGATAATATCTTTTTCAATTGATGTTTTTCTAATTGAATATTTTGATTTTACATAATATGTCTATCTTTTGCCTCATTCAAATATCTTAATAATAAAAAAGTACATTGCAATTTGCAGAAAGTAAATCATGGATTATCCTTAGCTTAGTAAAGTAACCCTTTTTATTTCAGATGTAATTTTCAAAAAACCCACGATATCTTTATTTATTTATATTTATTAATTACTTTGCTTTAGCAAATTTCAATAATGCTAATGAGTATAGCACGGAAAGCGATACACATAATTAATATTTGATGTCAGAAACACCAAAAAGGACGGGGGGAAGAAATTTGTTTAATACTCCTGTATATGTTGGATTATAAGGAATTTCAGCGTAAACTTCTATAATTTATTTATTTCTCACTTTTAAAAGAAAAAAAATAAGGAAAAATGTTCAGTCTTTGCATATGTTACATTACATCATTAAAATGTCAGTTGTTTTGGAGAAGAAAAATAGATTTGAGAATAGAAGTTCTCAGATAAGTATGTCAGTCCGTTTTAGTAGATCTTTTTGTATTGTAATCAGAACAAGAATTACACTCATTTTATATCCATTTCCTTTCCTTCTATTTTTTTTTACTTCACATAATAAATTAAAATAAGATTAAAAATGTACATACTTCATGAAGTTTTTATTTGTCAAACAATAAATAGAAAAACCTAACTATATACATATTACAAATTAAAAAACAAATTAGACAACTCGTATTCCAGTTAAAGATTTGTCTCAAGGATGTATTTTTTTTAACTTTTTCTTATAAATCCTAACCATGTAAAATATCTTCTTACCAACCTCCATACTTTGTTGCCGGTGACAGCGTCTCACCTTTATTTAATACAACTTGGGCGTTGTTATCCTGAGCATAGTTAGTATACTGAGAATCATCCTCTAAATTTCCAGTAGTTCCTTGAAAATTCTGAGAAGATTCACTGTAAGGATGTAAGATGTTCTGTTGAATAGCATAAGGAACTTCTCCTTGTCCATAAGCTGGCACTTGATTTTGCAACAAGACTTGATTGTCACCAGGGAAGTGCTGTTCCAACTGATAACTGTGACTAGGTATCAGATTCTGATAAGGTTCAATCAGTTTCTGTACTGGATACTGTTGTTGATTTTGCTGATACACAACGTTTTGCTCCACGTTGACTGGTTCTGCGATTTTCTCCTGAGGGACAACCTGTGGCTGTTGGAATGTTACCACGCTTTTGGCTTGAGGAGACCCGAAATCGGTGACTTGGGTGTAGTAAACTTCACCACTTGGAGCTGCAGGTGTTGGAGCCACTTGAGGCTGCTGCAAATAAACGTCTTGTTTTGGTACTGCAGGTAAAGGTTGTACGTAACTGTCTTGTTTCAAGTACTGTTGGGGAACGTAAGGTACGTAACCTCCAAAATCGTGCTTGGGAGTTTCTACGTAGATACCTTCAGCTTTTGGTACTTGCAACGGGTAGGGTTGTTGGTGCTGGATCAAGTTTTGATAATGCTCAACACCACCGTCGTAGCTTTGGAATATGGGAGCTTGCTCTATCTGTACAGGTGGCAGATGAATGGGTTGTTCTACGTGTAGTGGTTGTTCCACGTGTATTGGTTGTTCCACGTGTAGCGGTTGCTCTACGTGTACTGGTACTGGTTCAAAATCAGGAACCACGATGGGTTGAAAACCTCCTTGTTCGACTGCTCCACCATGGCTTTCGACTGACTGGCCGTGGATGCCGATTTTCTTCACTATGGCTCTGAAACCGTGATCGTCTGCTATGTAATCCACAATCCTCGTGGAACCATCAGGTTCTAGTAAACTGTAACTGCCACGTACTACTCCAGCTTTGTCTTTGGTCTCCCATTGTGTTTTGTGGTCACCTGTGTGTGGGTCTGACACGCCGTATTCGAAGGCGTATGGTCTGGGTTCCTGGAGAAGGAAAAGTTTATATAAAAGAAATACTTATCAATTTTGTTATAAGTTTTTTTAAAGAATCCAGTAAGAACTAGGCCAATTTGAACTTTTTCTCTGTTCATTGCATTGATCAGAGGTGCAAAAAACATTCGTACTATTTTTTTTTTGAGTGTATACACACACACACACACAAAAGAAATGATGATGGAGAAATGATGAATGATGACTTATCTAGATGCGCCTAGAACAGATAATGTTCCTTGAATCGGTTTGGCAAGAGAGTAGTGGTTTAAAAATGGTGAAAAAGGTAATTTAGATTTAAATCTCAACTATGTATTACGGAAGACTCTATCAATTATAGTGAATAATTTGCTATATTTCCAATCAAAATTTACTAAATTACTTTTACTTAAAGTTGTAAATAAATACAGGGTGATTCACAACGTATCCAAAAAAAATTGAAAATATATGCGTCATGAAAAATGAAGTCAATATCGTAAGAAAAAAATGTATATAATTTCTTATAGTTTCCCAGAAAAAATAATTGAATTTGTAGTATTTTCAACCTTTACATCGCTAGGCTACTGTAGTCTCTAGCGTCATTAGCCGAATACTGATATCCGATTTTAGTATTATCATTGTAGCGATAGTGTTCACAATAGTTTTTCAAATGTTAGAAATAAATGACATTACTAAATGTGAAAATGGCTTACGTGTATTACTCGGAGTTGATGGATACCGTTTTAATTTATGGTGAAGCAAGACAACATTTGCTTTTTGTTCATAGAAACTGGGTAAGACGGGCCCAAAATGTTGATATTGATATGTCAAATTATTTTATTAATTGAAACCACAAATTAATTTTATTTATTAATAATAACAATAGCAGCAAAAGCAGTTGAATTTGCTGATATAAATTAGGTCCAAAAATATTTGCCAGATTAGAACGAATTTTGCATGCTAACGAAAATGCATTCTCATTAAGAAAAGGGAAAGGAATTTCAAAATCAGTGTGTAATGAGGGTATTACAGTATTTTGAGGAAAAGCCTAGAACGACAGGCCACTTTTGCTTTAAATTTAAAAAGAAGCTCTGTGTAAAGAATTTTGAGCTCCAATTGTTACCATGACTATAGGCTAAATAACTTGGAGTACTTATCTGACGAAAATGCTGAAAAAAGACTTAATTATGTAGCCCAAATAATGGTTAATTTGGAAATAGATAATAGACTTACAACACATTTTTTGGACTATTTAAAAAATACTTTGGGACTAAGGATTGGAATTAATGAGCCTATGGAATGGGCTTCAAAGTCTCCAGACTTAACGCCCCTAGACTATTTTTTATGGGGACTATTAAAAAATCAATTATATGAGACACCCATGAGAAGTTTGGGGCATTTAAAGCAAAAGATTCGACATGTTTGTGAGAATCTTTCAAGAGAAACGTTGTTTAAAGTTACAAAGGAAGTTAGGAAAAGCTTGGATAAATGCTTAGAAGTAGGAGGCATGCATATCGAATTTTTTTGAAGTAATAATCATAATGTTATATTTTGTTTTGTGTTTTGTTATTAGTTATTGTTATACTTATTAATTACAATTAAAATTGTTTGGTATTTTCTCTATTTGGTTATCCTATTTAACCGTCATTATGTGTATTGTTCTATTTTTCTTCATGGAGTGACCTTTTTTAAGAAGAACATAACAACTAATATGTAAACAAATTTGTGGCAGGTGTTACATCATTGTTTTTCACAGTAATGTTGATTAAGTCATGACTAGTTCCGATACAATAGGATACATTTTTGTATGTTTGTTATTGTAACTTTTTAAGAAGAGACAGCGAAAAAAATTCTGCACAAATAATGTTCATAAAAAACAGATAATTTTAGTTATCATAAAAAATGAGTTTGTTCGTAGAAAAAACATTTATGACGTATTTTTTCAAGTGCAAAACGAAGCTTAGCGATTCCCGATTCACGCCATCTAAACAGATTTTTACTGTCGTTTTTCGTTTGTCTGTTATGGGCCCGAGACGCAAACTTTGGGACACCCTGTACATTAAAAATTTTTTTTTGATAATTCTTGAATCGCCCTGTATAACAATATCTTTATATTTTTTCTTAGTTCGAAAAACTACTGAGAAATGTGGCACGACATTTTGTAATAGACAAACCTCTTCAATCTAAATGTTATATATTTTATCCACAACTCTTAACATAGGTAACATGGTTTTAAAAACATAATAATCCTACCTGCCCACAGGAAAATCTACAGGGTGGCAAGAGCATGACTGATATATAATATTTAATGTGAATTGCAGAAAAGAAAGGATCTCAGTTCGATTTACCTAACAATGTTTACTTTAACAAGGAGCTGATTGAAATCAAAGTTGTAACTTAATCTAACACATATTTACTAAATATGTTGGTGCTTACTCAAGCGTCAAAAACTAGTCAACCGATACATAACTAGTAGAACTAGATGTATGGAATTTGGCCTATGAATGAAATTATGTGATACAATGTTGTCAATTTTTTTGTTAGTTTTAGTCCATTTAAGACACTTGATTGAAAGTAATTTATGTTGAAAATGGAAGGCAGTCATTCTAAGCAACTTAAATTTAATAAAAGTTACATAAAAACTATTTCCGAGACTCCCAATGTGGATGAAAAACCATACACAAAAACCGACACTAAATCAACATTGTTTTACATCTAAACCTCTCATCTCACTAACCTAACCCAAGATAAAATCGGTGCCCCAACCACAATCACCCACACGATTACCATATGATTTATGAAAGCGGAAAGGATGACTTACATAATTATCGTACGTTGCGGCATATTCACCGTGGTAATTGTTATATAAATTAGGCAGTCCTAATATCACTTCGGCTTCTACGGAGATTGCCGTGAGCACGAGGCATACCTGACAAAAAAAGAAACATAGATTAAACAATAGAACGCTGTTATTATTATTAGTAGACCGTGAACACGTAATATGAGCACGTTTTAGTACAGGCGCATAAGGAGAAAATGGGGTTTATGTCCTTCAAATCGAAAAAATAGGTACTTAATTAATTACGTAATTAATTATCTTTGCCTAATTAATTATGTAATTAATAGGCAGATAATTAATTAGTTGAATTTAGGATCTGTGCCTAAATGAAAACATTTAACAAATATGATAGTTTCATACAAGATTATAGTTGTTTTGTTTATTTCTCCTTACATAAATCAATCTCTTGATTAAAATTCTTCTTTCCCTTCAGTGAATTTGAATTTGAAAAAAAATTAAATCAAACTGTTTTAATTCTGTTTGTATATTTTGTTTGTTTATTTAAATTTTAATTTTTTTTGTCACAGGTTACGATCCATCCAAATAGACAGAATAAATAAAAACTATGTCACAAATAATTTCATATAGTAGTAAAACTATTGTATGAATTTATTTATAGCAATGCATTCTGATTTTGTTTCTTCGAAACGATATCATCTGTAACTTGAAACGTAACAGGCTGTTTCTGTTGCAATAAATATCCATAAAAACATCAACAGCAAGGTCGAAAATGAATATGCTCGTGTAGAAAAGCCTCACCCAAAGGAATTGTTGCAAATTATATATCAATTACTGCGTAAAAATGTACGTCGTTTCATTTTAAATAACAAATATGATTCATACACTTCCTTTTCCTCAAGAACCGACACTCCTTATTGGAACCATCTGGACGATGAGAACATTTTTTTTTAATTTTATGCAACGGGGCTTCGAATCTAAAAATTTTTTTATTATCAACCTTTAAATGTAACGACTCCTACTTTACATATTAATTAACAACAAAGTAATAATATAGGTATAAAAGGTAGGTATAAAATAACAATTTTTTTCTTAAAATATTTTATGACGTTTACTTTGTTCTCTTTTTTAAATATCCACAGAATGGTTACACTGCAAAAAACATTTACTAACTACATTTCACAATATTTGGATCTAGAAATTGATTTGATAAAGAAAAAATGACTTTTAACAACCAAAATTCTAGTATTTAATTGTTTTTGCGACCATTTAGCACATAATAGCAAATATGCAGAATTTAATGCACTTCTACCGTCTCACGACAAACGCTTTTCAGGTTTTTCAGGAAAATCACTTAATTTTAACACAGCATAAAACTTTGTCGACAAAAACCACCACTGGTTGCACATCATTTCACCTTATTCTTCTGTACTAAAGACCGTATGAAGATATTCATTTTTCTACTAACCGTAAACACAAACATGGTCTACTTTTGACTTATTACACCGTTTTCCACTGTTTACGTAACCACACTAAGTGCGCTTGAAGCGGGTTGGGTCTTTTATAGAATACAAGAAAATATGTGGATTAGAATGTTCCGTATTTACTCGTATATATCAGACAATGTTTCAGAGGCCTTCAGGTCCACACTTCACCCGGAGTTGCCATTGAAAAAGTACAAAGCAAATCATTTGTTCACGAAAATGGTTCGACGAATCATAGTCGAAAAATGAATCGACATCTTTGCGTTCGATAGAGTGTGGGTTAAAAACCGGAGGTGATATTTTTTCATTGCCATTCGGAAATTAACTAATTAACGTGGTCAATGATAATAACTGACGTCTTTCATTTTTAAAATATCAAACAATAACTCTTTACTTTTTTGTTATTGACACAAAAAATCAGTGTACTCAGAACGTTCCTTGGACTAGATTCAATGAATCTGAACAGATTATGTGAACGAATAAAATTTAATTTAAATCAATTATTTCCATTTATTCAATAAACTTTTGAAATCTCAGGCTGACAATTTACAAACCTGCCCCAAGTCTAGTAATTTTATGTTCCTAGGAAAGATACATTATATACGACCGATGAGCGAGTGAAGACTGTGAAAATTTATTACAAGTACAGAGAGTGTGTAGCTCAGGTTGTGCCCAAATTACGTGGAATTTTCGGTAGAAGGAATGCCTCGAATAAACTGTGAAAAGATTAGTTGAAACATTTGAACGAACAGGTCGGTTGCAGGCAATAAAAGACAGATCAGCCTCATACTTACCAATCAGCTGAAAATATTGCTGTGGTGGGTGATAGTGCGTCGGAAATTTCCATAACCTCAGTGCGCTGTCGGTTACTGCAATTAAACTTTTCGAAAAGCACAATTGTAGCGTGTTTTAACAGAAGATCTATATTTGCATCCATTGAAGATTCAGCTAACCCAGGGATTGAAACCAAACGAGGAGATTCATTGATGGATGTTGGAGAGTCAAGATGGCTCTAAGAAAATCATCTTTGGCTAGGAGACGCACTTCCCTCTTAGTGGGTATGTGAACAAGCAAAACTGTCGAATTTGAGGCAGAAACAATCCTTGGGTTATTCAAAAACGACCACTGTATACCCAAAGAGTGACAGTATGATTTGGATTTTATGCTGATAGAGTGATTGGTTCGTTTTTTTTTTTGAAAATGAGGCTGGAAACGCAGTGACTGTCAATAGAGAACGATATCGAGAGAGCCATGAAGCACGTCAAACTATCCACTTGTTACGGCAGCAATTTAATCGATCTTTCATATTCAAAAACATGTAAAAACTTTGCCGACTTCTTAATTAATAAAATCTTTTTTCCTCATATGAAATCCTGCGTTTTTTTAGCCACACTTTATTAGCTGACCTATCTATAGTCGTAAAGAAAATATAGACAAAAAGGTGTACCATTACAAATTTCAAAACTGAACCTTTCAAGAAAAGAACTTATGATTGCGGTCGCTACCACAAAATTAGAATACCTGCTTTGGAGGAAGCAGTACTAAATTTGATTGATGAAAAATCACTCACTTGCTCTAGAAAAAATACCTTGCATCTTAAAAGGCAAATTTTATATCCCTTTTCATGAGATTTGCTTATCTCTTACATTTTCCCACTGAACTCTAGAAGAGATTGAAAAAAATCCTGAGTTTTTGGTACATATATATACATAAGCCCGATTGACGCTTTTTGTTTTTTCGGGGTAAATACCACCTCCAAGTGAAAAAAATTGAAAAAATTTAATTTTCAACATTTTATTGACAAAAATCTTGTTCAAAGATTAAATAATGTTCCATGTTCTCCAACATGTTTTATGATATATTTGATCTTTTCGACTCTTTATTTAACCCTTAAAAACTACCCCTATGCAAAAAATATTGATAAAAAGTTACGTTTTAAAGATTTGGAATGATTAAATCGTGCAATTATTTAAAATAAAAGATACCTTATAGATAATAAAATAATTTTTCCCTTTTAACCCCTAAAAACCCTGTATTCACAAAAATGATAAAAAAATTACGTTTTAAATCTTGAAAAAAGCTATAATTGTGCGATAATTTAAAATAAAAATTCCCTTATATTGTTTATGAAAGAATATTTTACTTTTGCCATTTTCAACTCTTATAAACTACCCTTTTACCAATATTAATGTAAAATATTTTTATTATAATCGATTTTTAAATATAATCAATCATAAAAAAATTACGCTGCATATAAATAATCACACTAAATTGTTTTACTTATTTTATCTGTATAATATAGGTATTATATAATATATAAAAATGAGAAAGCCTATTTTTAAATATAATCAATCATAAAAAAATTGCTACGCTGCATATAAATAATCACACTAATTTTTTTTACTTATTTTATTTGTTTAATATAATTTATAATATATAAAAATGAGAAACCTTATTTTGCTCCGAAAAAATGTCATTGGTTTTTTTACCATAACTCGGTTAATTTTGAAGCTATAGTATCCTACAAAAAAGCATTTTAAAGATAATTTCAAGAGCTGTAAAATCGTTTGCATATAAAACCTTTTAAGTCCTTCGTTTTTTGAAGGGAAAGGATCGAAGGGCTCGAAACAGGTCGTTTTTTCACTAAAATAGATACTTCAAGTGGCGATATCTCCTTTATTTTTTATGCTATAGGAAAAAAAATAAGCAAAATATTTGTTGAAAAAAAGCTATATTTTTGTTGTCTATCATTTTTTACGTATCTTTCATAGTTTCAGAGTTATTATATAAATAAGGCAATTTTTTTGAATAATGAAAAATACGTCTTCAACTATTACCGTACATTATTAAAAAAATACGCATTCTAAACCGGTCTAACTTCAGGAAAAACACTAAAACAAAACTAATTGTAAAGGGTCTACGATTAATTTTAATTCTGATGGAAGTGGTACAGCGTTTACTGCTCATTTTTCCTTAAAAAAGCTGAGCAACCCATCTGTTTTTGACGATAACTCCTTCAGTTTTGCTGTAATTAACTTTTATAAGTGCTCACTTTGAAGATCTTTTTGAGTACTACAAAAAACTCCCGGAGCGTTATACACGTAAAATTAATCCTTTTTTCCGTTATTTGACGTTGAATACATCGATTCGAGTATTCTCCCCCAAAACAAGTCCTCTTCCACTAAACATATTTCGCTTTGTATAGAACGTACAACACTTCTTAAAAAAACGTTTCTTTGTTTATTTATAAGCTACATTTTTGTTCATTACACTTTTTTTAATAAAATGCCTAATGTTTGAGTTATTCGGAAAAATGCTTTGAAAAGTGTTTTTTTTTTTCACTCAAAATTCCAAGTGTTCAATCGTGGTTAACTAAAAAACTATCGATTTTTCGAAAAAATTCTTCGAATATTTTTTGCTCAACATTTGATTTTCTCGATTTCCAGCTTATATTTGAAAAAAAATGTCCACCCCCGAGAAAGGGTGTCAACCCCCAACAGTGTGGAAGCGTCAATCAGCGCTGTCACTAATGTTCATTGACCTTTTCTCTAACTATCTGCCAAATTTCAAGTCGATCGGTTCAGTTTCAAAGAATTCGGAGGTGAAAAGCTTCAATGACTGTACTAATAGACGAAGTTCACCGTCAACAATAGTTTTCTCTGAATGTGTGGGTTCGAATTTTTGGAGACCATTTAATTCACCTACAATTTTTGCTACCTAAGTTCAAAGGATGCATTCAATTTCTAGAAGGAGTACTTTCAGTACTTCTAGAAGAAGTACCTCTACGTGCTAGAGGTCAGTTTTGGCCTATGCATGGTGAGGTTCCTGCCCATTTTAATGAAAGGGCATTGCAGTATTTAAACGGAGCATACTTACATCATTCGATAGGCCGTCGTGGACTTCTGTTTTAGGCTCTTCGAATACCTGATTTAAACCCTATAAATTATTATATAGGTCATTAGTGTACAAGATTCATATGTAAAATGTTCCATATTGGCAATGGAAAAAAGTTACATAAGAAATTGTTTGTGGGCGTGGCTACTTCTACCTCTTACAACCGAAGGATAAGATAAAAAAATTATGCAATAAAAAATTAAACTCTACATTTGTGTTTTAATTCAATAATACAGCAACAGAAAATATTACAAGCATGAGATAATTTATTTGCATTAAGCAATATCAAGATTTCGATGCGTTGCCTTTCCGACAATACCACTGCAATTCAGTAAATAACTTGATTTTGACACAATAGTAACGTTTCGATCTCTAATTTACAACTAAACCGAAAAATTAACCAGAAAGCCTGGCAAGTAAGTGGTACCAAAAAAACGCAACATAAAAAATATATCTTTTTTGCGTTAGCAGTGATATGTACAGTTTCAAATTCTTTATTTTATTGTGTGCAAATTCATGGAGGATAACACTGAAGATAATTAAATTTTATTTCACTTGTTAAATAGGTGTTTTATACACCCCTAAAAACCTTGCTATTGAAAAAATAAAACTTGTTTATTTGGTATAGCTGGATTCGGTTTTCTATAAGCTTTTCACCGAGCCCCCTAATGCCTTATGTTTCCATTTCCAAAAAAAAAAGTAGGGGTAGCTGGGGGTTAGGGGGGTTGAAGAAAAATTAATTATTATATAACCGAAAGATGGAAAAAAATCAAAATCAGTTAACGGGTTTCGGCGTTTTAAAAAAAATTAACTCATTCAAAAGATATGAATTTTATTCCTTACTTCTGGCCTGTATATATAGAAATCCTAGGAATTAAGAAACTGATTAAATGTCCACCGAATGGGCAAGTAAAGGAAGTCAAGAACAAAAAATAATGAGTTTCTATCCGAAACTATAGACATACACATTAAATTTAAGGTCGTTTATACAAATAAAAAATACACTCAAAGTCTAATATAGGTCACGCAGGTATTAGCAAAACCAATAAGATTTGTCATAAACTTTGTACAGTTACTTAATATCTAAATCATATTGGTACTGGAAGGAATTGAAATGTTAATTATGAATGTAAATTAGATACTAGAATGTACGCGAATATTTAAAATAAAGGGAAAGTATATCGACACATTTT